GAAGGTTGAAACATGTCATGAATTAACAGTACCGTTATCTGTACAGTTATTTGTTTTCTGCCGAATAATGATGATATTATTCGAAAGGAAAGTCTTTATTTTTCAAAAGCGTTCAGCGAGGCTGTCTTATACCAAAGTATCTCACAGAAATTAATTGAAATCTGCTCAAGTTAGGTGAAATTGGACTTGCAGTTTGTTTTAATGGACTTTCCACAGTACTCAGAACCAAATAAGCCGTTCCTGAAGCACGTGGTTTTTGATACATTCACGAAGAAAGATCAAAATAATACACTCCCGCAAATATCCGTTTTCAGAAAAAACGGTTCCCGTCCTCTGATCAAGAAGAACGTTTCACATTGTTGACACAAATTTGTGAAAAATACGCCTCTAACAAGACCAAGATCAATCCCAAAAAGCCTAGACCAGCTTCGGCAGACGCTTCGGCAATCATCCATAGGATAAACAAAGGTAACTTCGGTCGTCGACACGATGGATGGTTTTGACAACTTAGCCTCAAATTAAATTTAAAAATGGAAGCTAAAACAGATTTGCACATATTTTCCAGATTACTTTGCTGCATTTTTACACGTGTATACCGCAGTTTTATCGATCAATAGTATGTGCTCATAAAACATACGCTCTTTGTTGTGGAAAGACTGTGACCACATCACTTGCCAACCACATTCAATACCAAAGTTATGCGAGGATGATAAGTCATTCAGGTCGTTTCTAGACTTAGAACTGATCATTTTGAGTGTTGATTGTCTCGGCTTATTTGAGAAACTACGTATTGTTTTTGTTGCGGAGCATTCTGAATGCGTCGCGCAGTGCTTCAATTCAACCGATTATTGTGGGATGAATGGAATAAATTTCCCACCCAGTTTGAACAGTCACTAACTGTGCACTTTTGTGCAGTTATTTTGGTTGTCTATTTCGACGAAAGAGTAGAGGCAAGATTAGAAGGTTGCAAGGACCATGAGTAGATGAATGAGCAGCACACTAAGACGAGTGGATAATATTTAAGTCACCTTCGCATCCCTGTAAGACATGGGACAGTGTGAATTCTCATCTCAGCCGCAGTTGTAAGAACTACTCTTGTTATTTATTTGCGAACGCTCTCTATGTGGTGCGAAAGAAGAAAAAAATAAGAGAGCAGAAGAGAAATAGGTGTACGAGTAAAATATATTACAATGAAAACTCCCTGTGATCAGTACTTTAAAATAAATGAAAGAATTGCATTTTTGTGTATTTTTCAAAGATACTTTTATCGGTTAAAGCTACACATGCAGATAAAGGTTCATGCATGGGCCTTTTGAGCAATGGAACTGCATCCTGTCGGTTTTCTCCAGGTTATCCGGTCTAGTTCTTGATAGTAAATAGGGAAATATCTTGGACCATTTTGCAACCTTGGTTCTAAAAATCGATTTATAACTTAGAGAATTCAACATACTTTTTCCGTCAATCAAGTTTGATTTCTTTAATGCACCTCTTTTCTCACTTTTTCAGGAACAGCTTGTGCGTTCGAACAGTGCTACAAGAAACCTTCAAACCTATCGTCGTTTATCACTTATGAATCCAGTGTAAAACAAAACCATGAAAGTTTCGTTATGAGTAACTCCACCTTCCCTGATTCGTCATCTGCTCCATCATCGGAGCTTAGTTTACCGAGCAGTGGTGTGCCAGTTCTTGATCTACGCATTACGCACGCAGACATCCGCCAGGAATCAATTCATACAGGTTTGTTTTTTATTCAAACTGAGGAAAACGTGAAGAAGGATATCTGGCTGGATCGTCTCAAGCAAATCATCAGAAAATCGGGAAGAATGTTTGATGTTACGGTCATCAGACATTCAGCATGTGGTCGTCATGCTGTAATTTTCAGCCCCAGCAACAGTGGAACAGAAGAACCTCCATCTCCACGCGTTTTTAGAAGTGTGTAAACATAGTCCGAGTGAAAGTGTTGTGATTGGCAACTCACAACAGCGTAATAACCGTTGCACAATTTGCCTTTTACCGACATTTGTGTGATAGATGTTACCTTCATTCAAATCAATTATGTGCTTTTTACTTCGTAATTCGGCATAAGCTCTCCTGTTCATTCATTTCGAATATTTTTAAAGTTTGCATTCAACAGATAATTGGTTTTGAGATCAGTGCAGAACAGCACTCCTTGCATTGGTTAGTCAATAACTAACCACTTTAATCTGCTTTCCTCTGGAAACTGTGAGATGCCTGAAAAAGGAAACCTTGAAGCATTGTTCCTGTGCTTCATTTACTAGTTCTTGCAGTATTTATTTTACCTCATTACACCTGATACTTTCCGTTCAAAAAGAAATAAATCAACCGATTACTTCTCCTATTTGCAAAATTCTGTTTTATCTTTTTTCCATCTGTTTGGACTCGTTTCACCTGAGAGTAGCGGCTATTTTTTAACGAAAATTAGGTGCACAGAAATCCACTGACCTGCAAACTAAAATAGTTTATGCTCAAATGTAGGGACGGAGCGCACTGTAAACTTATTACGAGCGCAATTTTTTTCCTTAAGAGTCAGTATTGTCATTTAAATATAGGTATTTTTATAGAGCAAGGTGGGAGACTACAACAAGGAAGATATTCGTTTACGCAATGTATTATACAGAATAATACCTACCATTCTAACAAAGTGGCATTCCTTCCTTATTTCAATTTCTGGAGGTTCACCGCATAGGGTGCCTTTTTTATCAACTCCTGTCTGAGGCACAATTAATATCACTCTCACGCTTTTATGTTCTATCGAAGCGCCAAACAAACCTAAATAACTTTGGCCAATATAGGTTGTCGTCATACTTGTAGTGTTTGTTTGGTAGAAAAAGCAAATATGAATGGTTTGTTGTTTGCATCCAATCGTTTAGAGCACGGTATTTATAAGACAACCATTGGGGATTCACAGAAGAACGGCGCTTACCACAGACAAACTGATTGGAATCGCAAAATCAAGAAAGGGGATATATCCGTAAAAATACTAAAGTCCTAATTAGTGCCATTCCTCAACTTGACTTGACTTGACTTGAATGATTAAGATCTTTGAGTGATGTGAATGTCATGCCGTATATCAATAAATTCACATTTAACTCACAGTTGTGAGTCGTGGTGTGAGATAATTGATATTACTTTGTACTAACCCTCCTCCAGACTTAGTCTTCACGCACAATCCTCAGTTCTTCCGATCAACCAGACCCTCGGATATGAGGTGGTTTGCACATGTTTTTAAGAGCCCTGGAGACAACCCGTCAAGACCGGATGATTTATTGATGTTCTTAGCCTACAGCTCATTTAAAATCTGTTCTGTGGTGTTAGTTGCAGGACAGACATCAAGTGACGTTTTAATTGGTCTCGGCAATAGATGCACGATAATGTTCACTGTACCAAAAGATCTTTCGATCTCATTTTTGTCACATGAGACTCTGGTAGGTTTATGTGAACGACCGCAAAGCAACTTCAGTTCAATCTGAAGTACGCCGATTACGACCAGTAGTAACTGGCTTCTAAACGGGTCCCGTGACTCGCAAGCAACCAAATTACCAATGCCTAACCCAGAATACTTGCGGTAGGGGCCGAAGTGTATTGCAGAACGCGCTAACGAAAAGTTGCGTTAAGGCACGGAGACAATGAGTATTAACAAGCCCAATGTCCAAGCTTTGGCTTACAGTTTTGCCTGTTGCTATAGTGTTCTCGGAGAGATCTGGTGTTTGCGTGATATTCTGTGAAGTTTGTTTTCATGTAGGCACTGGCTTATCGGTACCCCGGGATAACACATCTATGTCGCAAACGAGCGTTCATAAAGAATCCAAAGGAGACACTTCGCGAAACGGAGGATGGTTGTATTGTATAATCGTGCAGAGCCGAAAGCGGAGATGCAGAAGCGTGAGCAAGCGTGCAGAAAGTGAAAGCTAACACGCGTTGACCAAAGAAGTAGCCTTAATGCGATAAAACAACGAGATGCGAGAGACTTAGGGTACATGTTTAATGAGATGTAGTTTGTGTCACCATAGTTTCCCCCCCCCCCTTCTTGGAAGGCTAGGATGAGCCTTGGATAAGGGTGCGTGCATTGTTCGCTGTGGTTTGATGGTCCAAAACTTTGGATCACGCCGTGGTGGCCCACGGAAATAATGGGAGTCAGCATTCAAAATAGTCCCGGTTGATGGATCAGGGTTTCAAAAGTCAGTTATTCAGGAAGTGCTCTTGATATTCCTTGTAAGTACACTGTACACAAAGCTGGTTTAGGAAGGGACTCACAGGTATTTAGATATAAGCTTGAACCAATCAGATTGTCCGATTTGCAAAACAAAAGTCATATACGGACTAATCATAGAAATACATTTGATGCGGTAAAACAAACGATCAATCCAAACAACTCTTTTCAACATTTCGTTTCCCTTTTGAAGGCTTTTCATTATGATCCTGATTGGTGTATCCCTCCGCTTCATGTTCGAGAAGGTGATTGCGCTTTTATGCCCGTCTTTGTTATTTCTTGCTGCGGTTTTTGTACGCTGATTTCAATATCCTCCTGCTCAGTATTTGGATCTTTATTTTCTTCTTTTTCATCGCCACACTTCCATTTTACTCAAATGAACTCTAATTCTTCGTATTATCTGTTGATCACAGCTTACTAGGCACGAAGTTTTTGTTGCTCGCGATAGCACTTCTCCCTTCAACCACACCTTCTCAGTGTTGGTTCCATTGGTTTTACCCACACAGTGTCTCTTGATCTGAGTGATCACGGAGGTTTACTGCCGCAGTCGTAATATCTGTTCTTTAACGCCATGCGTTTCTTTAGTCTTGACTGTATGACTATTGATGGCGTATTCTGTGGCTGTAATAACTCGTCGCAAATGGGTAGAACCGTGCGTGTGCGTCTGCCAAATAAACGTTGGCTCAGGCTGGTTCCCATTTTGGCCGACGGTATGTTCCGTAAATCAAGCAGAGCCATGATTGGGTCGCTATCATCCGCGACGCATTTCTCAATAAGCTTCTTTGCCTGTTTGACCGCGCTTTCTGTCTTTCCGTTGGAATGACTGTGATAGAGGGCTAGTAACGTGGTGCTCAAAGTGCCGTCCTTCACTGAATTTCTGTAATTCGGTACTGCGAAGTTGGATACCACGATCGGAAGTCACCTGAAGTGGTATTCCGTGTCGTGCAAAATGAACGCGTAGTTTATCAACGATCTCCGCCGATTTGCTGAATCGCCGTAAATCGACTTCTAAAACGACACTATAGTAATCCACAGTTTTCAAGTAGGTGTCTTTCCCGTGATAAAATATATCCAGCGCTACATTTGTCATGGTTTATGTGGTATTGCACGCGAATTCCTCGATTCCTTCGTTTGTCGTTGACCAAACTGCCTGCAAATTTCACATTTAGTAATCCACTGATTTATCTGTTCTGACATACCCTGCTAATAACATGTCTCCCTGGCGCTACTAAGGAATCCGTTGATGTCGTCATGATAGCAATGTATCAATTTCATTACGTCTTGTTGAATCGCCTTCGGCAGAACCAGCCTACCACCACGAAAAATCAGTTCATCTTGAACGGTTAATTCATCTCGGAAGGGCTTTATGTTTTCTAGTCAACCGCGAGTGCTAACTCCTTTGAGTTTTTGCATGCTCGGATAGTCAGTAGTAGCATTTCGTCTGTGAGACACTTTGAGCTGCATCACCGCCAGTGGGACGTATACGGATTTCAATTTAGTTTCTGTCCGTTTTAGGCTCGCGATTAAGTGTCCACCACACATGTTCGTAATGCAGCTCATAATTGTATTTCTGTAGATGTATCAATTATAATCTCCAAACGAGTGGTCTATCCGCGGTCATGATCAGTGGTTTGTGATCTGAGTGTACGCGCCCGAGTCGACCAAATGTGCAGTCACTGAAGTTATCCAGCGCATACGCAATCGCTAGCATTTCTTTCTCAAACTGGGCGCATCTTTGTTCACAGGCCTTTATGGTCTCATTCCAGTAATCCATTGGACGTCCATTTTGAAGGATCACGCACCTAAGCCAAATTGATTGCTGTCACATTACATGCACAGAGATGCATTGGGATCAAAGTAAGCCAGCACTGGGGCTTTTACAATGAGTTGTTTGACGCGATCAAAACACGCCATTTGTTCTTGTGTCCAAAGACACGATTCTACTTTATGTATCTGACGTCGGAATGGGCGCATCAATTACGCTAGTTGTGGTAGAAACTGTTTATCATTTCTTTGAATCGTGATAAGTCTTTCGTATCGGCCTTTCTACATTGCTTTCACCCTTTTCGGTTCCGGTTTGATTCCGTCGCTTTTAAGTATGTGACCGTGAAAGCTGACATCTGACAGACAAAACATTAACTTGTCTTATTTCAGCTTGATTCTGTCTCGCACACAACGCTGTAAAAAACCTTCAAACCGTCAGTTGTGTTCATCTGCATCTTTACCAAAAATTAGAATGTCATCCGTCACGCGCAATACACCGAGTAAATCATCCACTGCTTGAAGGATTTATTTTTGAAAAGTTTTACTTGATACTTCCGAACCGAACGGTAGTCTTTTTCAACAATAACGCCCGAGTGGCGTGCCAAAAGTGGTCAGGTGGCTTGATCTATCGTCCAACTCTAAATGACTAAACGTAGAAGTCAAATTCACCTTCTTGAAGTATATTGCGTTAGCAAATTCCGGTAGCATATCGTCACAAATGAGTAGAGTGAAGTGATCCCATCTTGTCACCTTGTTTAACGGCTTCGGGTCGATACCGATTCTCAACTTTCCAAACCTTTTCGTCGCCACCAAAACCTGACTTACCCAGTCCATTGGTTAATCGACGTTCTCCAATACGCCCTTTGCGATAAGGTCATTCACTTCGCGGGAAAATTTCTCTCAAACTGCAAGTGGGATCCGCCACGTTGGTAAAACAACGGACCAAGCTGCGTCAATTATATGAATTGTAACAACTGACAACTTTTGCAGTTTTCCATCGAAAACAGAGGCATAATAATAATAGTAATAGTAATAGTACTACTAATAATAATAATAATAACGGTATATTTCACGAAGCCCGTGAAGCATGTTTGGAACAAGATAAAACTGCACAACATTATAAAAATATGGGAAGTGTTCTCACAAGAATACAGTTCAGATACAACGGGTACGCAAGGTAACATAAGAGAATTGTCTGCATGAATGCAGTTTACATACTGTGAAGAAGATGGGCCATAAATTGGAGGTTATTTCCCAGATAACACAGCGTAGCGCATCGTCGGGCTACAAAGAGCTACTTATGAACTACATCAGCTAACTTTGTTATTCAACAGTAATTAACCTTCAAAACGCATTTTCCATAACCCTCATCGGTTTAAATATTCATTTGATAATTAAATTCATCCAATAAATTGTATTTTCGTTGCCATAATTCATGAATTAAGTGCGCTCTATTCAGTGTGCAAAATGTGCCGAAGTCCATTTCGAGATAGTGAATCCATGTGAAAATAAATGGTTAACAGGTAATTAGAGACGGGATAATTGTCCGCCATAAAACGGAAAAAATCAAAACGGGATGTCCTGCAATGTAGCTCCATGTAGCTGGCTATTAAAGCGCTATTAGCCGAAGACGTGCTACCTGGGTTGTTGATGGTGGTGGCGTGACATCCCAACTATTCGAATTTCTAAAACCAACCGATTTTTAAATGTATTTTAGAAACATTGATGTCAAATACAGCTTAAATTGAGCACGCTTTTTTTCGGCTGAGTTTGAGTCCTTTGTTAAAATGTACTTTGTTTTAATGAACCTCAATTGACTTTGTCCGGAAAGTATGAGTACCGTAACGCAATGTTGACGATCATCCCCACGCTCTTTCCAACCATTAAACAACATGACGATACGATCGTTTGGAAATGAATGGCAAAATATTGCTACGGATCACTGGACGGTTTCTTGGAAGAAATCCGTGAATTCCAAAGGGTGACCTGCACATACGTCTGTTTATGCATCAATGACAGCCGATCAACTGATATGAGAGAAAAACATTGGTTGGAAACTGAGGCTGCCTGAGGGTTTTCCCTACTATTTCATCAAATATTGCTGTGTATATCATCGAAGGAGCGGCGCAACTGCAACTAGATGATTATGGCTCTAATTTTTATTGTACCTAACCCGTTTTTGGTTGGAAAATATCGCTTGTCCGGCATTTGTGGGAATTTGAGCGGTCAGGAGTGAGCACTGAATGACGAAACGTTGTCTTGTGCACAATCATGACTTCCTTTAGGGTCAGTGGGGTTTGTATATAAGTAATCGTCGTCTTTCTGGAGAACCAGAAAGGGAAGTGTGTAGTTTGATGGACACTTTTATAGGTACTCGTGAGCTAAGGGATTTCGCCACACAAAGGTTCCATAGACCCTTAAGTACCTAGGATATTAGATCCATACTTCGAAGAATATCTCAATCTCTCAATGGGGCGATGCAGTGAAAGTTCGGGATATACTGGAGCATCAGGGAGAAGTTACGATAGGGTTGAACGAAGGCGTTCATCATATTCATCATATTGTTCATCATATTTCTTTTGTTCCCAAGATTATGCTGCAGTGCGTTGACAGGTTTAATGATGTTTTGTTGGCGGACGCCACGCACCAGCTAAACTGTGGCGGGTACGTGCTCTGACATGCCATGC